GGAGTGTCCCCCCACACCTTCCTTTCAAAATCCTCCCAAGATCGACCCCTTTCCCTGAGGATTCGGTTCCACTTTCTGATGTCAGACTGCTTCTTTCATTGTTGGCACTGATGTCTCTGTGAATCTGCAGGTGCAGGCTGACTGGCCTCCCTGGACACAGTGCCCCGTGCATTATCGTTCTGCTCCCAGGAGGGATTCCAGTAGGGATCTCAGGCTGGGACGTGGGGGTGGTGGGTACTGCCAACACCAGAAAGCTTTTTAGATCACACTGGAAGAAGATGGTGGATGCTCAGTCCTCGTTTTATTTTTCCACTCTGGCAGCAGTGTGATACCACCAGTCCCTCGTCCTCCCTGTGCTTCCTCCCTGGGTCTCAGGGCACTACACATGCTTGGCTTCCCTCTCGCTTCACTTTCCTCTCCTTCTGCTTGTTCATTGCCGCCCTCCTCCTCCTCCTCCTCCTCCTCCTCCTCCTCCTCCCCGCGCTGCCCCTGCCCCCTCTCCTCTCCTCTCCTCCCCTTTCCCTTCGCGCCGCTCGCTCTCACTCGCGCTCGCTCCTCTCGCACCGTCAGTCACTCACACACGCCCGCCCGCGCCCGCACACAGGGGGATGCGCTCTCGGCGGACCCGGCCGCCTGCCCAGGGGTCCGACGGGGAGACGGCGTTGCTGGGGCTTGAGGGCTGGACAGTGGCTGGCGGGGAGGGGAAGAAGGCGGAGGGGAGTGCGGCTTTCTGCCTCTCACAGACACTCGGTCGCACGCTCGGGGCCGGGAACCGGCGGCGGCGGCGACCCCGAGCTGGCTGTGGTCGGCGGCAGCGGCGGCGGCAGCAAGGGTTGCTCTCTCTCGGCTTTACGTACCGGTCATAGTGTGTTTAGGGCACCTCAGGCGGGGCTCCCCGCCGCCTTACACATGGTGAGGAGCGAAGGCGGCGGCGGCGGGAGAGGATGCGGGAAGCGGCGGCGGACACGGCCGGAGCGGTCCGGGGATTTTTTTTTCCTATTTTGATTGACTGTGCGGGAAACACAAAAGGTGGAGCCTCCAGCCCAAAAGGGGGGAAGAGGGTGACAGCCCGCCCGGAAGTCCCGCCCCTCTTCTCCGCGCTTATTCGCTGCCACGCTCTCTGTCGGCTATGCTCATTGGTCCGGGTACCCGTCCGTCGCTCGGCCTAGCGGCGCGCTTCCTGTTTGCCCCCCGGGTGGAAGGGGAGAGACAATGAGCGGCCGTGGCGGCGTAGGTTCCCGAGAGCGGCTACGGCTCGCCGGTTATCCCGCTGTGCCCGCCTCGCTCGCCGGCTGCCGATGCCAGGCCCACGGCGCAGGCCTCTTCCACCTCGCTGATGCCCGGAGCAGGCCCCGCCAACCTGTAGGGGCGCTGAGCTGGGAAGGAAATCCTTCCTCGCTGGCTCTGGCTCCGCACGACGTTTCCTCCATGCCGGCGGCAGCCTCGGTGGGATCTCCCCAGGGCCTCGCGGTCTTGGAGCCGCTGCTTCCCCGCGCTGCCAGGAGGCCGCTGCCGCTCAGCCCCGGGGTTCTGCTGCGGCCGCTGCTGCTACTGAACAAACCAGACCCGCCCCACGAGCCCGGGGGGAGGGAGCTGGTATTGGGGGAGACACCCCCTCCGAGGCTGGAGGAGGATTTTTTTTCTCACACTTGCAGCTCTCAGATTCACAGTCGGAGCCATCCCATTCCCATCCCCCTTAGACCCAGGTTTCCAACCGTCTCCCACCCTGGAGGCAGGCATTTAAAGCAAAAAGAAATCGCAAGTCACCTCACACATGGGAAGAGATCTTTAATTCTAGCCAGTGGCATCAAAACAAAGTAGATTTTATACGAAGCATGTACATGTTCAGTGGGACAGAATCCCTTTTAAAAAAAAATCACAATCATTTTGCTGCACACACATAAATTGCTACTTATTCCTCATGAAGTCAGGTATCTCCTGAAAAAGTCACACAACAATTGCATTAGTTTGGATTAGGTTAACACTCCTTCCTTCTTTGGCTTCCTTGACATTCTTACTATCAACCCTGGGGAACATACTTAGGTTTTATTGTGTGTTCTGCCAACTAAGAGACATCTCTGCCTATTATCCTTAGGTTTGGTTGCCAAGAATGTTAAATTCAAGAAGTGAGAACGGTGCCCACAATATGCCTTTTATTAGAAATCAGGGTCAAATCAGTTTCAATTATTTTGATTATTATACTTTGTGTAATAAGTGAGGTTGTGCTGAGGGAATGATGTTGTAAAGTCTAAGCACTTGAACTGTGTGCACGAACTGAAAAAATTCTGTATCCATTTGCCAGAGACCAAGTTTGCATCTCACTTCCAAAACATGCATACATGCCACCTATCATAGGATGAGAAACTTGTACTTGGCTGCTAATTATGCCCCCCAAAAATCAAATATTCAGGGAATTGACCTAAAAAATACAACCAGGAAAAAATACTCGAAATTCTGAGTCCTAGAACAGGATTCATCTAATATTAAGTTCTTTTGGTTTCATATTGAACTAAAAAAATCACGTCGAATACTTGAATAGTACAAATGATATACTATTTTACACTTAATTTTTTGGGGGGGTGGGTTTGTTGTTGGTTTTTTTAATGTCTATACAGTTTTCTTTTCAAAAAAAATAGTTGTCAATGGACCTTTATTTTTTTATTTACTTTTTTTAGTTGTAGTTGGACACAATACCTTGATTTTATTTATTTTTATGTGGTGCTGAGGATCGAACCCAGGGCCTCTTGTGTGCTAGATGAGCACTCTACTGTTGAGCCACAACCCCAGCCCTACACTTAAAAATTTAAAGTGTTTAGAATAACATGATGGGGGGAATAGAAAAAAGGACTGGGTAATTTGTAGAAGACAGAGATTAAAACAGTGGAGTATGGGACAAAGGGAATCTCAGTACTATCACTTTCTCCTTACCTGAATACGTTGGATAGAGGGTAGATTTTCCCCTGGAAGGGCAATTTTGTGTATTTTTAGATGTTTTTCCAGAAGTAAGGGTATGTTTGGGGAGTCTAAGAGCATTATCTCTTGCAAAAGGTTAGTCCAGCTACCTTAGAGAATAAAGTACTTGGCCACAGGAATTAAATTCTTCTTTGATGCCAATTGACAAATGACATGAAAAATTTGTTTTGGTCTATAGACCATTCTGACATGATGCTCTTAAAAGATTCATAGATTAAAAATATTGTTCACTGCTACAGTTAATATTCAGAAAATCTCAGACCACACTTGACTTTATTGCCATGGGAGTATTTTAAGATGGCTGGAAATGACAGTCTCTTGAAAAATAACTGTTCTTAACTATTGCAGTATTGTAGTCAAATCTTGAAATATTGTATAATTGATCTTTTTCTTTTTTTGGAACTGGGGATTGTACTTGGGGCACTTGGCCACCGACCCACATCCCTAGCCCTATTTTGTATTTTATTTAGAGACAGGATCTCACTGAGTTGCTTAGCGCCTCGATTTTGCTGAGGTTGGCTTTGAACTCCTCCTGCCTCAACCTCCTGAGCCACTGGGATTATAGGCGTGCACCATTGCACCTGGCTATTATATGTTCTTTCCAAAATAATTTGAGGAAGCTCTGTGGTAGCCACTGTTGATCTGTGTGTCACTTTATGTCTGCTTAACTCAATATTCTCACCTTTGGGCTGGGATTGTGGCTCAGAGGTAGAGTGCTCACCTAGCTTGCACAAGGCACTGGATTCGATCCTCAGCACTATGTAAATATAAAATAAAGATATTGTGTTCACCTAAAACTTAAGAATAAATATTTTTTAAAAAAATATTCTCACCTTTTTGTTTTTTTTAAATTTTCTCAATTCTTTGGAACTGTGATGAAGGTTAAAAGTCCCCATAAGCATCTAGGTACTTACTGAAGTGGTCCTTTTTCCTACAAAGAAATGAGGCAACTAAACTTAATCTACATCTGCATGAACCTAGCCATTCTGTATTAAAAATAAGATTATCCTGGTTAATTGGACCACACCTGAAGAATTATGCCCTTTCCTTCACAGTCCCTACTTCTGCATTTTTTCCCTCTCAAAATACAAGTGGACCATATGTAACTGCCCATATTCTATGTGTTTCAGCCAAAACAGTGGCAATTTTGTGAAGTTCAACTTAAACCAATATCTCATGAATGCAACCTTCAGTGCTATAATTGGAACCCTACTTTTATTTGCCCTGTATCTTTAACCTGTTCACATTGGCTTTCAAGAATCTTAATTTGTTCTTCATACTTACATAATCACTATCACATTTCAGAAATACTCAATTTTACATTCACTGTATACTTAACACTTTGTTAGTTCACATCTTCCATATTCTGTCAAAAGTGTACCTTGAGAGCTATATCTCTTTGTTTCTAAATCTACTAAAAGGTGATTTTTTTTTTTTTAGTATTTACTATATGCCAAACATTCGACACCTTTAACTTAATCCTCACAAACCTACAAGATAAATATTGTAGATTTATCATTATCAGAGGAAGAAAAACTCTCACCAATCAACATCAAGTCTTTTAAGTTATCACCTTAAAAATCCACCAACCTATCATCTGAAAAATTAAAGATAAGATACAATAAAGGGTAGGATTATATCTCAGGGGTAGAGCATATACTGAGAACAAGCTGGAGGCCCTGGGTTTAATCCCCAGCACCAAAAAATAAAATAATAAAGTAGATAAAATCACTACATGCTGCAAGTCTTCCTTAGAATATAAGCATGCTGTATTAGGGATCATATATTTTGAATGCTTTAACCTACGTCTGACATGTAGATGTTTAATAGTGAGCAGAAAATCATCAAGACAATTGTAGGAAAATTGAATGACAAATACAAAATTAACTGATAAATACCATATGATGAATTTGTTTGACCTGTAATAAACAGTTCACCTCTTTCAAGATCACTTTCCCTATACAAGTTAGACCCTCATTTCCATTCAAGATCCACACCAAGGATATTACTATGGTACAAAAAGGACTGATGTGCTTATAATATAAGAAATCTCATTCTCTTCATTTAGGCCATTGACATTCTTTAGTATTCTAAAATTTTTAATTATCCACAATACTCCTGAAATCACCTTCATGTTGGTCCAGGAAGTTTAATCCACTGACATTAGATTTCTAAGTTGGGCCAATATTTCAAGAAAAAAAAATGGCTTATATATTTCTACCTCATTAATAACCTGTCTTAGAAGGAAGGATATAGAAGGTTAGCAATTCTGATGGTTGTACATCTGTAATAAGAAATAACCTGACACTACTGAAGTGTGTGATGTTTTTAAATGATGAGCAACATCTTTCAGCATAATGTATTTGTACTTTATTTCATGATTCAATCTCTATGTTATAATAGAACTTTTTCCTTTCTTTTAATTGATTGTATAAATCAGACACATGACATCAACTAATAT